GTAGATCAGATTAAAGTAAGGCGCAGAGCTCGCGGTGAGAATTTCATTGACTCAACCGCTACGGGGGGAGATAGATCACGGGTGAACGGTCTCAGAACCTCTCGGACACACACACACGCACACACGGATAACGCACTGTCTTCTGACGCATCTGGGAAGAAAGGAGAAAGGGACAATCGGCTGAATACGGGAGTGATCAGTAGCCACAATATACGCAAAGATTCAAGGATTCTTCGTGTTCATGTGTGATTGGAATTCACTGAAGGTCGTAAAAGGTGTACTAGAGAATTGGATAATAAGCTGAAAAAGTCACATCACCCTCGCGTGTCTGAAGCCATCGTTCTTGGAGATATCTTTCAAAAAATCATTTTCGTGATTTGGATGAACAAGTGTTGAGTCTCGATTTTGGAGAGAGAGAGAGAGAGAGAGAGAGAGAGAGAGAGAGAGAGAGAGAGAAAGAGAGAGAGAGAGAGAGAGAGAGAGAGAGAGAGAGAGAGAGCAGATATTCAAAACATTCGAACTAGTCGAAGATGGCCACCTATTGACGAGCAGACAGTTGTCTGTCTTACACAGTGTTATTATGACGTGAAATACCTCAAAGAGGAAATGAAAAGTGACCGCTTGTACAGATGGTTTTCTTATACAGGTGCACATAAGAGCAGGTCCAATTGTACAGAGACCTTGACAAAACAGAAAAAAATCCTGCCTGGAATTCTGTCAGCTTTAAATGAAGTGGAAGCTATACGTGTTCTGACTATCCTTGGTGCAGATTAGTGACTTCACGAGAACAAAAAAAAAAAAGAACAAAAAAAAAAAGAAAAGAACAAAAAAGACCACACAGAGTTCAACTTGAATAGATTAATTATTTCTGCGGCTAAAGGAAAAGGACACCCCGCTTTGAGACAAGTGAGAATTCTATTGGTGAAATCATGTACTTCCGGAAACTTAAAAAGAAATGGCTGAGACGTAAGGTAATTCATCTGTTCGTGACCATTCTAATAGCTATGGTTGTTTGTTTGTTAGTTTATTGTTTGTTTGTTGTTTGTTTGTTTGTAGTTTTGTTTTGTTTGCTTAAAATTTAAGATTCCCATATCGTCGACAAGCTGTTCGTGTTCTTATAACTTTCTTGTTCGTTTGTTTGTTTGTTTGTTTTTGGTTCTCCCATATTTTGCTCAAACTTTAAAAAATTCCTTATTATATCCATGTTTTATAGCATGTTTGTAGAAAACTCTTTTCTTTCAAAGCTATGTTTTTTTTCATTTATGTATAGAAGGGAAGTCTTTTTGCGAGTCGTACCCACCCTCCCTCTTCCCGGTCTCGTAAAAAAATACCAAAAAAGCCCCCAATCAAAAACCCAAAACAAACCCAGCAGTCAGTCTAATCTAGCCCTCACCCCCACCCCATCCACACACAC